CCCCACTGGGCCTCCAGCCTTCACGGACCAAGTATCTCCTTTCCCACCTATGCCTCACAGGGCCATCCTCCCCTACATACACAGCTGAAGCCATGGGTCCCTCCCTGTGTGGTCCCAGGCTGGTGGTTCAGACCCTGGGAGCTCTGGTTGGTTGGTATTGTTGCTCTCCCCATGGGGCTGCAAACCCTTTCATCTCTTTCAGTCTTCTCTCTCACTCCTCCATTGGGAACCCCATGATCAGATCTATGGTTAGCTGTGAGCATCCACCTCTGAATATGTCAGACTCGGGCAGACCTCTAAGGAGACAGCTATATCAGGCTCCTTGTCAGCATGCACTTCTTGACATCCACATCAGCATCTACCTTTGGTGACTGCACATGGGATGGATACCCTCTCCTTCAGTTTCTGTCTCACGCTTTGTCTCCATATTTGCTCCCTGTAGGTGCTTCGGTCCCTCTTCTTAATCCAGGATCCCAGCCATGAAATAATGCCATCCACTTTAGGGTCTTGGTGAAATCAAGATAATCACCACCCTCAGGCATGCCCAGAGGCCTATGTCTCAGGCAATTCTGATTCTGTCATGTTGATAACATCATGACAAGATCCTCAGGCCAGATTTGAGAAGATCTGCTCAAACCCCTAGGTCAGTGGCTCTCAGTCTGTGGGTGGAGACTCCTGCCGGGGTTACATATCAGATAATCATGTATATCAGACATTCACAGTATCATTTATAGTAATGATTTTGGAATTTTGGTTTCTTTAAAAAACACAGAACTATAAGAATGTGATTCTGTTTTAACCCTAGGTGTGGGGATGTGGGGCTGCTTCGGACTGTCTGCAGCAGCTGACTGATTTGTCTCATACACTAGCAGAAGTGTGGTTTTGCCAGCTGCAGCTAGTTTCTTATTTTAAATAGTTTCTTATATTTCTTTTGTTGGGGTCCATCACAGGGGCAGCTTATATCATAAAAACTTACATACCATGCACAGGAAGTACTGCTGGGTGGTTGGTTCGGGTCCAAGCTTATTGTGGGTAGCTATATGACTGCTGACTTCTATCATGATCGGTTTCCAAGGGCACAGAACATAATAAAATATACAACCAATCTTCACATTAGAAAGTTTCCTAGGAACAGCAGACATACATGAGAAAGTTTCCTTATGATAGCAGGCTGGCCAGGTAACAGTTACCTAGGTCTTAACATTGTGTCTAGGCCTTAATATTTTACCTAGGTCCTAACAGTTAGTAGCCATGATCAAAGAAGAAACAAAAGGAAAGAAATTAGATTCAGAGATTTTTCCAGTTCCTCTCTCCCTCTTATCCTTGTTTCTCATGTTATCTAGTCTTAGGGGATAAAGGTTGGGAAAAAGAAGAACCCACAGAGTAGCAAAGACCAGCTGCAACAATTCATAACAAAGTTACAGTTATGAAGTAGCAACAAAATAATCTTATGGGGTGGGGCTCAACACAACATAATGTGTATTTTGTGTATTAAAGAATCCCGTTAGGAAGGTTGAGCCACTGCCTTAGATGGAGCAGTGCCTTGAAATCCTACAGAACCGAAATTTATATGGAGGAGAGAGCTTAGAGTAACTGAGAAGACCTACTCTCCTGCCTCATCACAGCAGCCTAATGGTGCTATAATAGTCGTGTTCAGTGATGGGATGGAGGACCTGCAGATCGTGGTCACTAGCCCTTTACCCACAGCAGGTTGTGTGGGTCCAGGGCTCTGGGTAATTATGGCTACCATGTGCAGGGCTGTCGGCGTCCAGCATCAGTGTACTCATGTCTTTGGTTTCTGTGTTTGTTTGCTGCTCTTTCTTAGTCTTAGCCTATTTGTGGTATCTACTGATCCATAATAAACAATTCAAATAGTGGAGATGGAGGAGACAGTGGACACATTGAATTTCTCTGTGAAATGTAATTCTTTCTGAAAAGTGACGTGCTGCTCGGTGTCTTGAGATTGTTGTATCATTGAGAAAGGCTAAGAATAAAGTGGAACATAATTCCTTTTTAGAATGTGTTTAAAAAAGATATCCTCATGAAAATAAGGCAGACCACGGACTTGGAAAATTGTGTGCCTGACAAAGGAGTAAGATCATGGAGCTTGAGGCAGATAGGGTGGCTGAGTGGGTAAAGGTGTTTCTGCCCCAAGCTTGATGACCCGAGTTCAAACTCTGGGACCCACATGGAGGAACGAGAGGTTGGCTCACAAGTTGTCCTCTGAGCTCGAGTGCGTGTATTCACTGCCCTCTCCCCCACATAGACACACAAATACACACACACACACAGATACACAGACACACAGACACAGGCATGCAGATACAGATACACAGACTCACACAGACACACATAGACACAGATATACAGACACGGATACAGAGTCACAGACACACAGATGTAGATACACAGATACACACACACACATAGACACAGGCACAGGCACACAGACACAGATACATAGAGAAACATGCAGACACAGGTACACAGACACACACACAGAGACACATATAGACATACACAGACACATATACACACAGACAAATATATAGACACATACAAAGACACACAGGTATGCAGACACAGATATACACACACAGACAAACAGATATACAGACACACAGGCATGCAGACACAGATACACAGACATGCATACACAAAGGCATACAGACACAAATATACAAACACATGCACACAGGTGCGCACACATATCCATACAGACATAGATATACAGACATACACACGTGTACACACACACAAACATGCACAAGCCCCTGGGTGTGGTAGATTATTTTTCACTGTTCTCATTGTTTTGGCTGAAATATGTGACAAAAACTGATTTAAGTAGAGGAGATTTGTTGTCTTAGGTTTTTCAAACCCTACTTTTTGTTTTTTGTTTTTTGTTTTTCCAGACAGGATTTCTCTGTGTAGCCCTGGCTGTCCCGGAACTCACTCTGTAGACCAGGCTAGCCTCAAACTTAGAAATCCACCAGCCTCTGCCTCCCAAGTGCTGCGAACCCTACTTTTAATAAGAGTTCTTAAATACTTTAACCTCCCTTGTGGCCCACCACCCACCTGAGGTAGTGGAAAAGAAAGGTTATTAGGATATGGGGTAAGTGAACCTGTTCTGAAATTGTTCTTTGGAGCAAATCCAATCTGTGTTGTCAGAAATCAGCAGTTTAGTTCGAAGGTCAACAACAGTAGCTCAATCCACTCACAAATACTTCAGGAATAGACCAGCAGTCTAG